CGGTCATAAAGTATAAGCTGTGTAAATTAAATTATCAATTACCATTGTTTACAGATGCTATAACTTTCAACACAAAGCAATCAATATACACTTATTGGGATTTTGTTTAACAAAAACATGTAGCAGAATACATTTGGCCAAAATTTATGATGAAATTTGAGTTTTTTGGATATTTTTTATGATAGAAATGAGAAAAATATTGTTTTTTTTTTTCAAAATGTTCAGTCTTTTTTTTGTTTATAGCCAAAAAAATAAAAAGCGCAGGAGGTGACCAAATACCACAGAAAGAAAGCTATATTTGTGTGAAAAATGGACATAAATTTAATTTTTATGTACAGCATTGCATGATCTCGCACAATTGTCAGTTATAACTAGTGCAGCTCTGTATAGAAAAAAATGGAGTAAATTGCAGTATCTATATCATAGTTTGTAGACGCTATAACTTTCACACAAAGCAGTCCAATATACACTTATTGGGTTTTTTTTTTTTACCAAAAACATGTAGCAGAATACATTCTTGGCCTAAATGTAACAACTAACTTTGAGTTTACTATATATTTTTTAATAGCCAAAAGTAAAAAATATCAAGGTTTTTTTTTCAAACTTTTATTTGTTTAAAGCACAAAAAATAAAAAGCGCAGCAGGTGATCAACTACCACCAAAAGAAAGCTCAATTTGTGTGAAAAAAGAGACATAAACTTTGTTTTGTACAGCATTGTATGACCGTGCTGCAATTACCATTGAATTAGTGCGGCACCGAAGAGCAAAAAGAATGGCCTGGATCAGGAATGGGGGCAAGTGGTTGAATATGTTGATTCTACACACAGATAGCAAAGTGGTGTTAGGTTAACATGAATTATAATGAGACTAGAGGATTCTATGTTTATGTCAACAACAGTGCTATAGCACCTCCAAAAAATGTTGCTAGCACCTCTGTCTTCAGTGATTAGGGCCGCTCATAAGGGAGCTTCAGATCCTGCTTCTGGCTTTTTCCCCTAGGTGCACTGCAGCATTTCTGTGCCCGATGTTTAGCCTCTTGTAGCAGGCATCCCATATTTGTCTCTCACTCCCAGCCATACGCATCTCCAGCGTCTGACTGTGCACAGGTAGCAATGGGGGTTTAAAAGAGATAGAAGATGGGAGGAGGAACATCGATGAGGACCCAGGAGTCTTTACCTCCAGCCATATGGTGAGTGACTTCTGCAGCTATTCCCCTCTCAGTAATGCTTCTATTCTGGTTACTAAACTACATGCTGCTCACTGGCTGCCCTCCCCCCCCACACACCCACTGTAAATACTGCTCACTTCTGCCCCCCCACACCCACTATATACTGCTCACTGCTGCCCCCACACTGACTGTATACTGCTCACTCTTTCTACGGCCCCCCCACACACCCACTATGTATATATGGCTCACTACGGTCTTCCCCACCCACTGTATACTGCTCACTGCTGCCCCCCCCCCCATGTATAAACCAACTCACTGCTGACCCCCCCAATTTATACTGCTGCATTGCCTCCCCTCCCGTACTGTATACTTCTCACTGTTGCCCTCCTCCACTGTATACTGTTAAGTCACTGTTGCCCCAACCCCACTGTATACTGCTCACTGCTGCCCCCTCCACTGTATACGGCTCCACTGCTGCCCCCCCCCCATGTATATTACTGCTCACACTACCACTCCCCACTGTATACTGCTCATTGCTCTGCCCCTACTGTGTATTGCTTATTGCCGCTTCCCCACTGTAAATAGCTGTTTACTGCCCCACCTCCACCCCCCACTGTTTATTGCTCACTGTTCCCGCCAATGGTATATAGCTCACTGCTTTACCCCCCCCCATTGTATACTGCTTACTGTTCCCCCCAATGGTATAAAGCTCACTGCTTTCCCCCTGCATTGTATACTGCTCACTGTTCCCCCCAATGGTATATAGCTTACTGCTCCCCCCCCATTGTTTACTGCTCACTGCGGCCTCCTTGTCACCAGGGATGCTGGAACATGTGAAAGGGTCCTGCTGTGGGACCGTAATAAAGGGCACCGCGATGAAAGTAAAGGATCCTGGGATCAGTGGGAAGGACCCCGGACTCAAAGGGAAAGGCCCTGGGACCAGAGGTGGGGGGCACTTTATGGTTTATTGCACTGGGCCTTGAAGGTTCTAGTTATGCCTTTGACTTATTGCCTTCTGTGGCCAAATTATTTAATTATTTTTTGTATGTTTCATACGTTGATTGCATGTATTTCTCATTTGTTTTTCCCAGTAGTTTCACCCCACCCTGTTTTGTTAATAACCTTCAAGATTATATTCAGTCTGGCTTATTGCAGAATAGGAGGGTTTAGCTGCAAGTCATGTTACACACATGGAAAAGTATTGCAAGGACAGAACATATGCTCTATCCTGGACCATGGTTGATGAGGATGAGAGAAGTATGTATAGTCTTGAGTCTTTGGGTGAGTCTACTGCCAGGCATTCACCAATGTGTAAGATTTAAACAGTTTAGAGAATGGGCCTGGCACTGGGTCCAAGGTTGCCAATAGGGTTGTTAAGTGAAGGTGTTTTTTTTATCTAAAGCCGGATGTACCCTTAAGTTGCCCATGCCATTTTTCAACAATGAATTGCCTACTGGCCTTGTAAATAAAACAGAAAAATAGCTAGTTTTGCCTACCATAGACTAATCTAAATGTTCACAGACCATCCGTTGTGTTCTGACAAACCGCCTGTGAACTGAACCAGGCACAGTTCACTCATCCCTAGTAGCTTTTGTTTACATACACACTGCTCAAAAAAATTTAAGGGAATACTTTTTAATCAGAGTATAGCATCAAGTTAATTACACTCCTGGGATATTGATCTGGTCACTTAAGTAGCAGAGGGGGTTGTTTATCAGTTTCAGTGCAGTGTATAACCATTCATAATTGGAGTGTGCTGATGAGCTATACTGATCACAGTCACAGGAGCTGCTGCATAATGCAGCCATAGTTCATATTTAATAAATGTTCTGTATTATAAAAATGTGATATCATGTTTTGGCTGTTTTAGAGTGGAATATGTATACACGCAACTTGAAGTCTATTTGTTTTTTAAAGTGCATTTACACTGTATTTTTATAACTACCATAATTTCCATCACCACTTTTCTGAAAAACATTTCAAAACCATTATTAATAGAACCAGAATTTGTAACCAGACATTATTTGTATGCAGTGTTTGTTGTAACTATATATATATATATATATATACATACACAGGGAAAGTAGGTCATAGACTTTTATGACAGCTGGAATGTAGCCAGGTACAGAAATTTGTGAGTGCTATTCTGGAGGAAGGGGAGCCCTTATGTGATTTGAAGTAGAAATAAATGACTCAGGGGTTGATGCTTGACAGCCCCTCTACTCTTCATTTCACAGCTGCTATGCCCTCTCTCATGGCACCCTGGGAACAAATGTTCTAACAGAATGCCAGATGTTGTTGTCATAAAGCATTTCTTTTTCTTTTTTTTTCCCAAGTCAAGCACAATTAAAATCAACATGTTAAACTACTGCTAAAAAATTATGCAGAATTATGTAGTTCTGCATCATTTATAGTTTAATTATGAAGAACCAGAAGCCAGGTAGTATACCTTAGGCTAATTTCACACAGGCTTATATATCCAGCACCGGACACTCCAGCACTGAACACTCTACTGGCCCCAAATGAGCAACACTTCTGCGTCAATGTCCACAGATGCTGCAAGCAACATTCTTTTTAACACAGAACAAAACTAACATTTCACTAAGCACTTGTGTGTTGCTATGAGTTTATCCACACCAGGGATCAGGGTGGCAGTGGAGAAAATAACCAGGTAGCTGTACATAAAAAAATACATGATGTTGAACAATACAAGCATATATTACATAATAATAATAATAATAGTAATAATAATGAAGACAATATAATATTCCAATTCAGAAAAAACACATGATGGTAAATCACGAAAGAAAACTATGATGTCTCACTAGCATGTACAGTACTAATATATTTTGATACGATTGAACCTGCAGTTATCTATTTACGTCCACTGACTTTCAGAGCCAGGACAAGGATAGGGGGGAGGAGAAGAGGCACATGTCCCAGGGCAGTGTTGATATGTGGAAGGACACGCTAGGAGCTTTGTCTGCTCTGTTTTTCAGTCCCTCACTGACAGCAGTGACTGCAATGTCACTCCTGCCAGAAGGCTCAGGGATCTGATAGCTACTGGAGGAAGGACTCTGTGCTCTCCTCCCTCCAATTGCAGCCCCTTTGGACAGAAGAGAAAGGGCATTCGCTGAGAACACACCTCTGTTTCAACGTGGCACCATTGTGAAGACTTGTGAGATTCATTTAATTTTGATTTGTTTTTCAGATAAAAATTTGGTTTTCGGAGATTCAAATGCATCAAAATTTCTGAATGGACATAGAAAAAAATGGCAACAAATCCGAAAAAAAGTTCTAACAAAAAAAAAAGAATGAATTTGTTTAACCACTTGCCCTCCTGAGGATTTACCTCCTTCCTGACAAGGCTATTTTTTGCGTTACGGTGCTGCGTTACTGTAACTGACAATTGCGCGGTCATGCAACACTGCACCCAATTGAAATTTACATCCTTTTTTTCCATGAATTGAACTTTATTTCGGTGGTATTTGATCGCCTGTGTGGTTTTTATTTTTTGCGCTATGAAAAGACCAACAATTTTGAGAAAAAAAAACAATATTTTTGACTTTTTGCTATTAAACATGTCCAGTAAAAAAAATTTTACATTCTAATTTCGTCATAAATTTAGGCCAAAGCGTATTCTGCTACATGTCTTTGCTAAATAAAATCCCAATACATGTAAATTAATTGGTTTATGTGAAAGTTATAGTGTTTACAATTGGCGGAATATATACTGAATTTTTTTTTCTTACTAATAATGTCGCTGATCAGTGACTTATAGCAGGACTGCAGCGGGCATTCTGACACTGGGGGCAACTGATTTGATGTCAATGACATCCCCAGTGACACCAATACAGTGATCAGTGTAAAAAAAAGCACTGACACTGTACTAATGGCACTGGGCAGGAAGGGGTTAACATGAGGGGAGATCAAAGGGTTAACTGTGTGCTGGGAGTGTTTTACTGGGGGGCTGTGCACAGCCATCCAGAGAAGTGTGGCTGAGCTGACAGGGAGGAGGACTGTTAGTAAACAAAGCAGCCCTCCTCCCCGTTGGAGATCCTCGGTAATCTCCAGGCGCCGGCGGGTAATCACCGGCCAGGACCTGGTGATTGACAGCTGTGGCTGCGAATGGCGGCGCAGGTAGGGCTCGCGCGTGCCCTCTACCTGGAAATGCAAAATCAAATATAAAAAATCAATATAAATATACGTGATTTTGTGCACCCCTGTCGCCCTGTAGCAGTATATCTGCTATAGGGCGTCAGGATGTGGTTAATTCATTTCATTCAGATTTATGAATTTGGTCAATACATACGAATACTGTCCGTGATACTTTTTTTATTTGCACTAACATACAATTGTAAGGACAAGCTTTCGGGGAATGTCCCCTTCTTCAGGTCCAAGCAGTACTGAACACAAAGGTTTAGCAGAATGTTAGAAGAGATGTAGGGGATGGAAAAAAAAAAAAAGGAGAACAGAGATAAGACACAACAAAAGCAAAGTCTGGGGGGGGGGGGGGGGGAGACAACACTCACAGAGGCAGTCATGCTTGAGGTGATAGTCATAAAACTGTTGGATAATGATTGAGGAATCCCATGTCCAAATTCAGGCCGTTATCTCTTGTGTCAAATAGAATTATCATTCTTAGTTCAAAAGTTTTTCTTTCCTGAATGGATTTGAAATTTCCTTTAAGAACTAAAATACTGAGGTCTCCCAAAGTGTGGTCTGGTTGTGCGAAATGGTGTCCCACAGGTGTGCAAAAGTACTGTATTTTTCGCTCCATAAGACTCACTTTTTTCCCCCCAAAAAAGGGGGGAAAATGTCAGTGCGTCTTATGGAGCGAATATGGAGCGGCTGGTCCAGTATTTCCACCGCCGCCGTGTCAGAATACAGGGCCGGCCAATCAGCTCTGCAGTGGGACCTTACCTGTTCCTCTATCCAGCGCCGCGCTGTCTTCCCGGCTTCTGTAGTGTGGGCGCTCGGCTTGTCAGCCGGGTGCCCAGTGCGCATGCGTGAGAAGCGGTGCGCTTTGTGAATGGTAAGGCGGCACCTGGGACACATGGCAGGTCCCTGAAGCCGCCGGACCAATCACAAAGCACAGCGCTTCTCGCTCATGCGCACTGGGCACCCGGCTGTCAAGCCGAGCGCCCACACTACAGAAGCTGGGAAGACAGCGCGGCGCTGGATAGAGGAACAGGTAAGGTCCCACCGCAGAGCGGACACTAACTAAAGAACAATTCTGCGGAAGTAGGAGCGGGTACCTGTCAAATTCAGTCTCTGGTCATCTCCTGTACTGTCCGCAGTCTCTGGTCATCTCCTGTGCTGTCCGCAGTCTCTGGTCATCTCTTGTACTATGTCCGCAGTCTCTGGTCATCTCCTGTACTATGTCCGCAGTCTCTGGTCATCTCCTGTGCTATGTCCGCAGTCTCTGGTCATCTCCTGTACTATGTCTGCAGTCCATTGGTTTAGAATATTTTTTTTCCTGTTTTCTGCCTCTAAAACCTAGGTGCGTCTTATGGTCAGGTGCGTCTTATGAAGCGAAAAATATGGTAATCTTTATATTCCTTGATGGTATGTCTCAAATTCATCCTTGTTTGCAACTTCTATCCTGTTTCGCCAACATAAGATCCTTTGCTACATTTTCTGCACTGGATAAGGTACACAACATTACTAGAGGTGCAGCTCTATGATCCAGAGATATTGAAGATTTTTGAGTGTCTGACACTTTTTGATGGATTGATTTGGTTGCACAGTTTGCAACGTTTTTTATTGCAGGGTTTGCTTCCATTATTTGTGACATCATAATCAGAAGGAAGTTTCCTACTGATTAGTTTATTGCTGAGGTTGGGGGGTTGTCTGAAAGCCAGTATTGGAGGTTGCTGGAATATTTCTTTCAGAGTTCCATCCTCTGTTATGATGGGTTGTAAATCTTTGATTATTTTTTATTCCTTCTAGTGCTGGGTTGTATGTGGTTACTAGAGGTACACGGTTGTTTGTTTTTTTCTCCTTGTACTGAAGTAGATTTTCTCTTCGGGTCCTCAAGGCTGTGTTTATGATGTTGTTGATAAGGATCTAGACCAGCAATGGGCAAACTATGGCCCGCGGGCCATATACGGCCCGGCGGACCTTTTAATCCGGCCCGCAGCCAGGGCAGGCAAACATTGGCTGTCAGGATGTGTGTAGGCGGGGCAGCGTGACGAACGTGAGGGGAGCTAGGCTCCTCTCACAGTCCGCCCTGGAGACCAGAAAGGCGCGGGAACACGGCGAGAGGAACGCGCGGAGCAAAGGTAAGTGAATTGACACGGGGGACTTGGCTTACTACTTGGGGGGGAATAGTACTGTGGGGGATGAAATACTATATGAGGGATGAATTAATATGGGGATGAATTAATATGGGGAATGAATTACTATAGGGGGGATGAATTACTATAGGGGGATGAATTACTATATGGGGAATGAATTACTATATGGGGGATGAATTACTATGGGGGATGAATTACTATATGGGGGATTAATTACTATGGGGGATGAATTACTATGGGGGATGAATTACTATATGGGGGATGAATTCCTATGGGGGATGAATTACTATATGGGGGATGAATTACTATGGGGGATGAATTACTATATGGGGGATGAATTACTATGGGGGATGAATTACTATATGGGGGATGAATTACTATATGGGGTATGAATTACTATGGGGGATGAATTACTATGGGGGATGAATTACTATATGTGGGATTAATTACTATGCTTACTATGGGGGAATATTACTCTACTTACTATGGATGACACATACACATCATTCATCTACTCTTGGTCCAGCCCCCGGGTCCAATATATGAACCCATTGCGGCCCTCAAGTCAAAAAGTTTGCCCACCCTGATCTAGACGTAGTATCCCTGTATAGTAGTATCCCTGTATAGTAATATCCCTCACAAGGATGGATTAGCTGCATGTCACAGATCCTTATCATCCTCACCAAACCACAAATACACTGCTGAGGCGGCATTAAGAGGCGGCATTAACCACTTTACCTCCAGAGGATTTACCCCCCTTTCCTGACCAGGCCATTTTTTGCGCTACAGCAATGCGTTACTTTAACTGACATACAACACTGTACATAAATGAAATTTATGTAATTTTTTTCTCCATAAACAGAGCTTATTTTCTGTGGTATTTGATCATCTCTGCATTTTAATTTTTTTGCGCTATAAACAAAAAAATACAGACAATTGTGAAAAAAAAACTATATTTTTTACTTTTTGCTATAAAACATATCCAATAAAAAAAAATTTAAAAAATGACATTTCTTCATAAATTTAGGCCAAAATGTATTCTGGTACACGTCTTTACTAAAAAAAAAAAAACCCCAATAAGTGTATATTAATTGGTTTATGTGAAAGTTATAGATTTTACAAATGGCGGTATATATATTGGAATTTTGATTTTTTTTTTATACTAGTAATGGCGGCGATCAGCGACTTATAACAGGACTGCGGGATTGTGGCGATTATTCTGACACTGGGTGGAACACTAACTGCCACTGACATCCCCAGTGACACTAATACAGTGATCAATGCTAATAAAAAGCACTGACACTGTACTAATGACACTGGACAGGAGGGGTTAACATCTAGGATGATCAAAGGGTTAACAGTATGCTGTGGGTGTTTTACATTGTGTGACATCCCCAGCAGCCAATAGCAGTGTCGGCAGGGCAGTACACACCCTCTACCCGGAATAGCAAATCTTGTACATATACGTGATTTTGCGCAGCCGTGCTGCCCTGTTGTAGTACATCTGCAATAGAGCAGCAGGCAAGCGGTAAAAAAAGACTTTTTTTAAAAAGGCATGGGGATCCCCCCAATCCTTATCAGGCCTTTCAGGAACCCCACACAATTTTTTTTTTTCAATGGCATATGGTCCCCTTGAAAAAAATCCATATCTGACCCTTAGGTCTGGTATGGATTTTAAGGGGAACCCTATTCCAAAATGTAAAGAAAAAAAAGGCATGGGATCCCCCCCAAAATCCATACCAGAACTTCATTCAAGCATGCAAGCCATGGGGGGGGGCGAACAAGCACCCCCCCCTCCAGAATCATACAAGGCCACCTGCCTTCAGCATGGCAGGGGTGCTTTGGGGAAGGGGGGCTCACCCCACCAAAGCACCTTATCCCCATGTTGATGGGGATAAGGGCCTCTTCCCCACAACCGTGGGTGGTGCTTGTGGGATTTGTGGGTGGGGGCTTATTGGAATCTGGAATCCCACTTTAACAAGGAATCCCCCAGATCCCACCCCCCCCCCCCCCCCCCCCCCCATGTGAATGAGTATGGAGTACATAGTCCCCTACTCATTAAAAAAAAATGTCAAACTTAACTATACTGGGATTTTTTTTTATTTTTACTAGTAATGGCGGCGATCAGCAAGAGGAACTGACTTGGTGTCACTGACATCCCCAGTGGGACCAATACAGTTATCAGTACTAATAAAAAGCACTGACACTGTACTAATGGCACTGGGCAGGGAGGGTTAACATGTGGGGTGATCAAAGGGTTAACTGTGTGCTGTGTGCCATTTTACATTGTGTCCTGTGTGTGTGCTTCACTGTAAGCACACTGCTTTGCATGGCTGTGCTATGCACAGCCATGCAAAGCAGTGTGCAGGAGCTGACAGGGGGGAGAACTGTATTGTTTACAAACAGTTCTCCCCCCCCATCAGAGATGCTCGGCAAACACCAGGCGCTGGGGAGTAATCACTGGCAGGGACCCGGTGATTGACAGCCGAGGCCACAAATGGCGGCATGGGTAGGTCACGCACACCCCCTACCCGGAATTGCAAAATCACGTATATATACATGATTTTGTGCACCCGTACCACCCTGTAGCAGTACTTCGGCTATAGGGTGGACAGGAAGCGGTTAAAGATAGTGATCATATGAAGCCATTTATTATCACAGTTGTTTGGCTCCTTTTTAAATCATAATAACAGAAATAACCCGAATGCCCCTGATCAAAGGTTTACATACCCTGGAATGTTTGGCCTTGGTACAGATACATGCAGGTTCAAATGGCAAGTAAAGGTTTATTTCCCACATCTGTGGCTTTTTAAATTGAAATTAGTGTCTGTGTATAGTCAATGAGTT